TTCAGTGTCTCATGACCTCTACAAGTTGGAAGAGATAGTTTCAATGTGTTGTTGATCAATGTGTTTTTGGCAGTGCTGGTATTGGACGAACAGGAACCATTGTAGTAATCGACATGCTTTTAGAATCGATTGATGCTAAAGGTGAGTATACCCTCTTTTGAGGTTTTTGAACCTGTTTTTTACTGTGTAAAAACTGATATCTCTGAGGCTTTAAAGTCAGCAGGCTGGAATCCAGAAGGTTTCTGGTTCAGTCACCAGCGATTGCAAGATATTAGCCATTGTGCCCTTTAGAAAAGCACTTAAAGGGATAGTTCATCCAAAAATGAACAATTTGTCATAATTTACTCACTCTCAAGTTGTTCCAAACCTCAATGAGTTTCTTTCTTCTGTTGAACACAAAATAAGATATTATGAAAAATGTTGGTAACCTTAACCAGTCAGTTGACGGTAGCTATTGGGTTTCAATGTATTTTTTCCCCCAATTATGGAAGTCTATCCCCAACTGTCTGGTTACCAGTCATACCTTCATGGTACTGTTATATGGTAACATCACATGAAAGGTCATAGGTTTGATTCCCAGGAAATGGATAAACTCATTAAATGAATACCTTTAATAAGTGTCAGCCACATGTGTATATATATATATATATATATATATATACATTCTCAACTCAGTGGAGAAATGAGTGAGTGGAGAAATGTTTTTACAGGCCACTGGAAATCCTAGGCACTTTTGAGTAAATTCCAGCTGTCAATAAGAGGTTTACAACTTTAAATAAGCACATAAACATTCTAGCGACAGGGTCAGTACAGTTTCAATATTCATCTTTGTCTCAAAACAATAATGAACGCTGCCATGGCAAAACTCGTTTTAGATTAGGAGATGAAAAATTATAATCTGATCACAGATCAGCTCTCTCAGCAGGAGACTCATTATTGTTCATCATTTTTATTGCAACTTTGGGTTGATGCAGTGCAATCACATTGATTAAAGCATTATAAGCTGTGAATATCCCCAGGCTTTCTAGAATCTACCACGATATGTTTTGCTAATATGCTTCCCTTCGAAATGGTCCAGAATATGTTTTACGCAAATCAATATACTTAGTCTTATAATCTTATAATAGGCTTATTTTTAGTTGTCGCAACCACATTTCACATGGACACCACAGGGTGTTACTTTATCATAGATCTTGAATAGAAAAATAAATGTTTCTAAAGATGTTGTCTGTGTCAGGTTTGGACTGTGACATCGACATCCAGAAGTGTATTCAGATGGTTCGAGACCAGCGGTCTGGCATGGTGCAAACTGAAGCCCAGTACAAGTTCATCTACTTGGCTGTGCTACAGTATATAGATACGAATACTGTCACACGAAAGGCTGTCATGGTAAGAAAATGGCTGAGGATCATTGTGAGGGGGTTGAAATATAAATATTATATTATAGAAATATTTGAAATATAATTAAGGAAATAAAGGTAAATGAAGCCCGAAAGTTTGCACTGGAAATGAATAATATTTGGTTGTATAAGGTTTGTGGTTGGTAATATTTGGTTCCCATGATATCTAATCAAAGTCAACACTGTGGATTAGAAGATAAGATAAGGATTATGACCAGTTCTCTGTCTCTCCCCTCTGTTGTATTTAGTATTGCTATTGATTTTTTTTTTTTACTTTCTGCTATAGGAAACAGAAACTGAATATGGAAACCTTTCAATTCAGCCTAAACACCAGAAAGCCAGTCGCAAAGCCTCTGCAAAGTGAGTATGCAACTGAGACTTCAGATTGTAGCGTCTTTCCAAATACTCAAAAAAACATTCCTCTCACGTTCCCATATCTCCCTTAAACCAATGACCACTTAAGTAGGCGGTTCAAAGATCTCTCGGTCACACGGCTATTCTGCTTATACAAGCTTTTTGTAAGCCTTAGAACCGTTGTGCAATATCCCATTGAAAAAGAAAGATGGATTGAGTATAGGGGATATGGAGTGAATTATGTGCCAAAATTAACAAACAAATCCAGCATTTTGCAAACAAACTCGATCTGCTTTGTAAATGAAAATTTGACTCGCAAACAAACTCGATCTGCTTTGAAAGAGTGAACTTCACACATGAATGTTACATAAATTGTATTGGCCTATTTTCAATTAAAAATGTTGAAATTAGTCAAAATTTGATTAGTTTGACAGATTAATTTTGTTTTGTTTGCCATTTAACATTTCTGTCTTAAAATAGCTGTCAATTATGAAATGTTTAGCTACGGTACTTGCATCTTATCTCATGCATTAACAAATTATCTTGATGCTGTGGAATATCCTTGCTGCAATAAAGTCGAGTTAATACTATATTAGGCAATCATTTTACAACCTTTGTTATACAAACTGATGAATAATGCATCATCTCACCTGTAGGCTAAGTCACCAAAAACCCTTGATAAAAATAAACAGTAACACAGTAACAGTAACAGGTTGGCACCAACCCTGGAGAGAAGTGTTACTACGTGCTAATACGGATTTCTGTCTAGATATGTAATAAACATTTAGCAAAGGAAAACCTAAAGATGTTTATTATAGATAAAGTAAGACTGAAACTTTTTCCTCAGCAGTAGGCAAAGGCAAACACGTTTCAAATCAGTGATTCTCACGAGAGACTACAGCTAAATGAATCCCCTATTTTAGCACCATCTACTGTTTTAGAAGAGGAAGACTCATCTGCATTTGTGAAAAAATCTGCCTGAGCATTGTGAGAAAATCTGCCAGCCACATTTGTGAGAAAATCGAACCGAGAGATCTCGCAATCATAACAGACAGATATGCATTTGTATGCACTAGATTTGGTATTTGTTCAAAGGTTACATGTAATTTGTAAGATGGTTTGTATTTATTTGTGAAATATTATCATCATTTATTTATCTTTGTCAAATACAATATTGATTACTCCACTGCATTTTTGCTCAAATTGACCTTTGTTTTTGCAAATTGCTTTCTGTTTGATTGCAAGTTGAACTTTCCTTTGCAAAGCAGATCGAGTTTGTTTGCGAGTCGATTTTTCTTTTTCAAAGCAGATCGAGTTTGTTTGCAAAATACTGGATTTGTTTGTTTAATTTTGGCACATAATTCGCTCCATAAGGGCATTTTATCTTAGATCTCGTATTGATTCAGCTTGACCCTGCTCAAATCACCGTGAGTTGAACTAATCATTGGCTTACTGGACAATGTTTGGCAAGTCTCTATTTCTCACGTTTATGTGGTTTGTGTGGTGCTGACAAAAACATTAAAACTGCAGTAAACGGCAAAAAAAAGAGAGAAGAGAACTTACTAAAAACAACTTAGTGATATGATTTTCCACATATTTAAATCTAACTGCATTTAAATTAAAATGTTCATGGCAGTTGACTTCTCGTTGGTTTCTGTAGAAGTTGAGGTGTTATAATAATTGCTTCTAGTTGGTGACTAATCCGTTATACTGATTTTTTAAACTTTTTTTTTCAGAAAAACTGAAGATGTTTATGAGAATCTGGGAGCAAAGGGAAAGAAAGATGTCAAAAAGCAGAAATCAGAGGAAAAGAAGAGTGGATCGGTCAGGAAACGATAAAAATAACATAAAAAGATGAGATTTAATTGTGCTTCGTAAATGCCAAAATATGTGATCTTACGCAACAAATCTTGCTATATTTTTTTCTCTGTGTATTTGTGTCATTTTTTAATATCTAGTAAAAATTTGCTGTTAAAGTGAATTCATTAAGCTGCAATTGATTTATAAATCATCCACTCGTTTTCAGTTTTAATAAAAGTCCTTTTCGAAGTCTGTTATCCCTGGCCGTTATGGTTATCTTCTGTAATAAAATGAAGTTGTGTTTGAATAGAATGTTTCATTTTCCGTGATGTTATTGTAACAGTAAGGCAGAAAGGAAAGGTTGATGTCCTGGTGAGATGATACGTATAAACTCTGGCCAGATGCCAGTGAGAGGGACCCATTTCATTCTTCTTCTGTACATCAGAGAGTGAACCCCATACAGGGCTGACCCCATTTAACACTGAGGCAGAGCGGGGGAAAACATTAGGAGAAATGATTAATGAACTTCGTGAGCTTAGAATTATAAGGTTCTATCTCCACTTTTGGTCAAAATTGAGTTTTTGACATAATCTGATCCATTAGGTGTTTATTAATGCCTGTGTGGTGTTATTTTTGTAAAAAAAGATTAATAGATAAAGCTATAATAGAAGATTATACTACATAACAGTTTTGCCAGCTGGGAAGTAAAAACTTTGATGCTCAATATCTCAGAACTAACCTAAACGGAGATAGAACCTTATAATTCTAAGCTCACGACTTTACAGAGCTCCACATGAGCAACAGAACCAAAGTGTTACACTTCTATAACATTATTATAATTGATAAACATTTACATTTCAGGATATAAAATCAACTTCTCATCTTTAGCAAGTTAGCATGGTCAGGATCTTTCAACTGCCATTTTACTCATATAGCAGCAAATGCAGGGGGTCCACACCGTCAGATACAAACATAATGTGCGCAGTGTTAAATTAATTTCTGTTACAATATTTTATTAATATTTTGAATACAATTTTTTTGTTACAACATCAAGGCAACAAATGTTTTGGAAACTGCCTAAAATAATAAATGTTTTAGTTTTTTTCCTGTTTTATTTTATTTCAGTTCATGTTTATCTTGCCTTGATAGATGAGTTGAGACTTCATGGTTTTAACTTTAGACCTGCTACATGTATTCAGACTGATCATCTGAAAAATATTTTGCACATCACACATGTTTTAAATACGTTTAACCTAAATGTAAATCGTCAATTACCACTGATTTACAGATCACAATAAAACAAGTTTACTTTTTTCTGACACTTTATACCTATAGTTGGCATATTTTAAAGGGGTACGGTCATAATGAATCATTATTTCAGTGTGTATTTTATAAAGTTACAATTTGATAAACTCTGGAAATCCAGTCAACCTCCCCTTAATGCTTGCAAATCAATCCCAAACATAGAGAGGCTGGATTTGGCTATTTGTTCTGTTCAGAATGAGATGGTTTGGGAGGAGTCACTGCTGCTTTCGGGTTTACTTACAGAGGACGAAACTCAGATCGGTCATGGCTCATTGTGCAACGGAACATCTCGGAAAATTTTCCGGAAACACTGACCACGGATTCTGCTCGGTACACCTCGCGTGCTGTTAGTAGGAAACGGCGTTAATCGCGCTATAATTTAACCAAATTAACTAGCATACAATGCGATAGTGCTGCCTGGAGACACGGATAGAGATCCAGACAGATAACCTGCTGGAAAAGTGAGCCAACAACAGAGCAACAAATCCACACGAAGTTTTGATCGATTCGAATCGAACGAAAAAAAAATGTCCAAACCTAATTATACTGGCATTTACAACATGATTTCCCAGAGTAATTTTGAAGAATATCTGGCTGCTTTGGGTAAGCTACAATATATATATTTTTCTCAATTTTGCAATCTAAGAGCATACTGTGAACTGCTAGAAGTCTATAAAGAGTATTCTTATCGAATCACATGCAGTGACTCGCTTTGATTGTAACTTGATGCTTGTTGACTGTGATGTAACGTTATAACTTACCTGTCTTCATACCTTTGTGAACCTGATGGATGTACCTCCCATTAGTCTGGGTTAATGTGATGAAAAAACACGGTCTAATTATTTGCCGTGGGGAAGAAAGCCTAAACGAGATCAAAGCATTTTAGTGTGCAATATATATATTTTTCTTTCTGAAAAAAATGTGAAGAAACATGTATCAAATGTTTTGTTTCTCTGACACTGGTCTCATCCTGCTGTTATATGCACCTAAAAATATAATATAATTCCCTAATATTGTTGCAAAATCGTATGAATTTCTTTTGTTATTTTTCTGTGGAACACAGTGAGAAATGTTCAATAACTTGCTTGCCACTTTTTCATGCATTTGCAATAATGGAGCTTTGAGCTCAATTACTTGTCAAGCAGCATAAAATTATTATTCATACATCATATTCCAAGTCTTCTGAGTTTATATAATAGTTTGTGTGACAAACAGACTGAAATGTTGTTGTTTCTCACTGATAATTTTCTAAACCCCTTCAACCAGAAAAATGTAATCAGTTAGTTAAACTCAAAGTCATCATGATCCCAAAAGAAATCTTAACAGTTTGGAATAAAATGAGGTTAAGGAAATAATGACAGAATTGTTCTTAAAAAAATGCTTATATAATCTTTCTTCTCTTCACATCAGATGTTAATTATGCATTAAGAAAAGTTGTCTGCATTCTGAAACCAAGCAAACATATTGAACATGATGTAAACACTGGCACAATGAAGATAAAGACAGTCACCACCTTTAAGAACTTTGACATGGACTTCACTTTGGGACAAGAGTTCACTGAGGACCTGGGACCAGTCGATGGGAGAAAGTGCCAGGTCTGTGGGTTCTTTTTTATTTGCACTTCTTGTTGTGATATTGTCTTTTTTGTAATATATTTGTGGGAAACCTGGGCCCGTTTCAAAAGGAACAACCACCAGACAAAGGAGTGTGGTGTGTGTGGCGCTGATGGATAATGTCCTCCATATGTTTCAGACCACAGTGGACTGGGACGGTGATAAATTGGTCTGTGTGCAGAGAGGAGAGAAAGAGGGCAGAGGCTGGACACACTGGTTAGAAGGAAACCTCCTTCATTTGGTAAGCAAGTAGGGTTTGTGCTGGGCTTGGAAAAACTGCTTTACATATACAGTGGACATGTTTCCAGTTTTACTAGACTAAAAGGATTTGATAAAACTGTATGAAAGTTTTTTTTTAAATGACATAGTATTATATGTGTTTGTGTGTGTATAGCTTTTCTAGGTAAAATTACTATTTTTATTACGTACCTGCTTTTATTATAATTCCTGATGCAGTTATAAAAAGTGTGAGAAAAGTGACAGGACACCGGCCAAAATGAAAAGGGAGGGTGAAAGAGGAGATGAACAGAGGGGGAAGGGGGGGGGGGTTAAATGCGACGAGTGACAGGGCCTTTTAGGGCTAGTTTAAAGAGACACTGCTTTTTGTGTTCAATTTTGGTTACACAATTGTATAAAATGTGTGGTCAGTAGGAATTAAAAAAGGAGACATTACATTGATCAAAAGTGACAGTAAATAAATGTACAATGTTACAAAAGAGTTCTATTTGGAGAGTTCTCTTCTTTTTGAGCACCAAATCAGCATATTAGAATGATTTCTGAGGGATCATGTAACTCTGAAGACTGGAGTAATGATGCTGAAAATTCAGCTTTGCCATCACAGGAATAAACAGCATTCGAAAGTCTATTAAAATAGTTAATTTGTATGACATTTTTGATCAAACAATGCCTTGGTGAGCATAAGAGAATTCTTTAAAAAAAGAAAAAAAATTCTTTAAAGAAACAGTACATTCATTTTAGGAATCGTTTCCATGGAGCAACCTGGTATTCAAGGCTTTACTCGGAAGCATAATGTTGATAGGACTTTCTCTGAATGTCTCTTGGGTTAATACTATGTATCTCTTACAATGTCCTTCATCCCTTTTCTCTCTCTCTCTCTCTCTCTCTCTCTCTCTCTCTCTCTCTCTCTCTCTCTCTCTCTCTCTCTCTCTCTCTCTCTGCAGGAGATGAGGGTTCAGGGTATCACTGCCAAGCAAGTCTTTAAGAAGGCTGAGTGAGCATGGAAAGTGAGAGAGAGAGAGAGAGAGAGAAATAAAGGGGCCATTTGGGGGGTTTAAGCTCAGATTGTTCTTAGAGCCGAGGGCTCAGAAAGAGGCAGTATTGCCACAGCGATTTGTTCCTGATCCACAACAAACAGTTTAAATGAAAACTAAAAACAAAGAAATTGGTCCCCTCTCTATGAATTGTTTCTGTTTTTAAAGCAGTTTTTTTTCCCTCACAGTAGCAATCAAACTAAAATGTGAAGATCAAATGAGATCCTTTAAATTTTGATTAATTGCAGTAGTCAAACATTGTCTAAAAGTGCTGAAGTATGTATGGTCTGAAATGTTAGGTCATGTTATTGTATTTGTCCACTCTAGAATACAACCATTTACATTACTACAATAATTCTGTTTGTATGAATATATTTCTTTTCAGAGCATTACTAATAGCAACCCACACAACAGCATACTTGTGTAACTTCTTTGCTGTAATTATTTTTAGTTACTAGTTATTTTGTAATGGGGTTGGTCAAAATAGTCTCATATTCAATAATTGTGTGCAAGTTTGGCTGTACTTGTGATGGCCAATACATTGAAATGTCATGACAACCATTTTAGTGATACATTTTTACTGGTCTTCACTAGTTAAAAGCTTTTAAAACAGTCAAAACATCTTTTTATTTCAAGTTTTGCAGGTTTCTGTTTTAGAGGTAGGGGTTGGGTTAAACGATAGAAAATATAATTAACCTGATATAAAATCAATGGAAGTCTTCAATAATATAGTGAAACAGATGGGTGTGTTTATATATATACACACACGCAGCCATTCAAAAGTTTGGGGTCAAGGGTTATTTTTTAATTTTTTAAAGAAATAGTACTTGTATTCAGCAAGGATGCATTCAATTCAATAAAAAGTGGCAGTAAAGATATTTATAATGTTAGATTTTTTTTTTAATAATTTGTGTTATTTTGAACATTAAAAAAAAAAAAAAAAAAAAAAAAAAAATCCTCAGTTCCCCCAAAAGTATTAAGCAGCACAAATATTTTGATAATTGATAAGAAATATTTCTTGGTGAACCAAATGAGCATATTAGAATGATTTCCAAAACAAATCTTGTGTGAATACTGGAGTAGGCCTAATGATTACTGAAAATCCAGCTTTGCCATCACACATTTATATTTCACAATATAACGCCCCCCCCAACTTGATTAATTTCTTTCAAAAACATGATAAAACCTTACCTTTGAACGTCATATCTTTCAACCACCAGTAACAAATTAAGTGGCTTCCATTGTTCAATATATACAATTTTGGAAATGATCCAAATTTCTAAGAGATGCATTGAATTTGAAAAAAATAAATAAATAAATAAATGGGTTCCACCTTGCAGTTCCCTCAGTTTGCCTCTAGGTTTCGATAGCAGACTTGGAAAAGGAATTTGGTAAGATTGGTTATTTCAATCACTAATAAAGGACAATGGGGACAAGCTTGTTTTGGCGCATATGTTTTGCTTTGTAGTAAAGTACATGCTTTTGACCGACAGGTTCGCCAGTGAGTTTTGAAATGAACTCGTTCTAACAGGGCAAACTTTAAGTCTATTGCATCCTCTTCTGGTAAGATCTAGTATGACATGTGACAAGTCTTCATCTCTTTGCATTGTACATATTTGAATCCCACAAATACAACATTTTTATTAAAATGTAATGAAACATCTGAAAAAAAAAACAAGAACTCTAAACTAAAGACAATATTAAGTTTTTCATTCATCTTCATTAATCAATATTGTAGAATGTACAGTAGGCCTATTAGATGTATTCTTACTGTGAAAAATAAAATCTAGTTACACACATTCTACCAGAACAGGAGTAAAGCTTCTACACTGATAGATAAAAACACACGTTAGATTTTTGTTATATACACACTATTCTTCACTACATATTTGTCAGGTTAATAATATGGAGTTAACATGTCAAAGTTCATCGTTCCATTCAGACTCCTGTGGCTGTGACGGATAAAGGGAGTCATGCCTTCTTTCTGTATATTCCTTTTCAGCAGTTGATTGGCTGTATTTTGCAGACATCATCATTGGCATATCTCCTTTACACGTTATGCCACTGTCCATGTCTGTGTAATTGTCAGCTGAGGAAGAAAAAAAAAAAGAGTCAGTGATTGGCTCATCTCAATATATAGCCTAATCATTTTTGTTTTCTTTGAACTTCTATTTTAAACGCCCTTACATGCTTATATATATATGTATAGAGAGAGGGCGAGAGAGATTCTTTAACCAGAGTAGTCTGTCTTAGCTGTTGAAGGATCATATGATTAACAATAAATGTTCAATGAATGTGACTAATATGTTAAAAATGTCCTCATCAGGTGTAATCATTTTCTCGTAAATTTGCCTTATGAGATCAGACTAGAAAATCTGCTTACTGTACAAACCGGAAACTCTGTACTTGTTGTCACAATATGACTGCCAAATTAATGACGGAGGAAAGTGTATGAGTCGTGGGAGGCCAAAACACCCACTTGATTATTTGACATGCAGTGAAAGACGATGTCTATGTGGTTTTATATCCTCCTGTCTGTGAGTTGATAAGATCAGACGAGTTCAAAGGAAATTGCATCTCGTTTTATGCAGTGACTGACGCAAAGCCATATCTGAAGTCATCACAAATTTGGTATTGCTCATTTCGAAACTCTCCTGACTGTATACATGCGTAGGCCTATGTGTGTGATTATCAGAGGGACACTCGAGGAAAACGAAGAGTTTTACCTTTATGTTTGTCACATTCTGCACATATCTCCATGTCAAAGTCTGCTGGGTGTTTCAGGATGTCTGGAGGAAGCATTGGCAAGATGGGGTTTGAGGAAATCTCTGAAAACACACATGCACAACATATAAAATATATAAAATGACATTTCCTTCACATTTAACATGTATAGTTGAATGTTGTTAGATTTGCAGTTTTATTTACAGTATTTTGTATTTTACCCCCAGCAACAATCATCAGATGTGTCTGGTATTTTTAAGAGAGATTGCTGTGCAGTTTGCACTACATTGATACAAGTCTGTGAGCATTTTGTGAACTGATAGGATGTGGTTTACCAGCATCAGTTTAACCATAGGCATCTTGTGCACTAACTAAGCTGAAAGCATTTGACAGCACACAGCAGAAACGTGCATAAATGTTTTGACTGTGTACATTCACAGTGACTGTAGCAGATGTACTTAGATATTAGTAAAGGATTTCAGAGCAAGTTTATCTATCCCTCAATGACTGGCAAAGCATTATGCATAGCATTTGTAGGTTTGCATCTAGGATTAGATACAGGGTTCTGCTACGGTTACCTCTTTTATGTAAGGCCTCTCAAGGACAATTCAGCCTACTTCCACAGAAAATATATTTTTTAATATTTTTTTGACTGCGTAACATAATTGCTACCAGGATATGAGGAGACTTTCCAACCTATTGCACCTTTAACTTGATCCTTTATTCACAAATTAACATATCTTTGGCTTCATGATAATAGAGCTAAATATATAACCTACAGTATGTTACACTTACCTGATCTTTTTGAGTGATGTTTGTTTCTCCAATACATTATAAACAGGACCAGAAATACAATTAAGGCAGTAACAATGATCCCTGCCCACAGGCTAGCAGGTAATACCCAAGAACAAGCTGAAATAAAGAATAAAAAGGGACATAAGAGGCACAAACATGCTAACTCTTTTTAAATGAATAAATAAGATTGATTATGAAAAAATACATTGAACATGGTGACATTTCTAACAAAGGTAGCTTATAGAGACTTACATATAGTACCTGTTTGAATAGGTCCACACACAACATCTGATGTGCTGGTCCCAGCAACCTCTATTTTTCGACCTAAATCTTCACAACTGTAAATTGACAGAAATTAATTTCAGATGGGAAACTTTATAAAAGTTTATATAGCCTAGGGATAATAATTACTATGTACAGTATGAGTGTAATGATATATTTTTGAATTGTGGGCAGGCCTACATTTTGTACGTGTAGAAAAAAAGGGAAAGAAATATATTTGTGTGTATTATAACGTCAAAGAGAGGTTGAGAAAGGAAGTGATACCCACCCACCCTCCTACACATTGTACGTCTATACTTTTTTTTTGTTTTAATGGAAGTGGTTTTATTTTGTGTAGGAGAATTACACAAGACACGTTTACGTAAAACCAGTAATGGCTAATTACGTGCTGTAAAAGCTATGTATTCCACCAGTGACTTTTTATATCAGATGGAGGTGGAATAGAAAGAAGCATTATAGGTGAACAATTTAAATATGTAGGCTACATGTAGAGGAAAAACTGGCAACTTAGAGAACTTAAAAGAAAAAAGAATCATCCGCTCTCTGAAAATAGCTGCTCCAAATGAATGTATTAATCGCACAAGGTTTTAACCATCAGGTCTTCATCAGGCACAATACCAATAGAGTAAACTTAATGAACTTTACATGAACTAACAATGAACAATACTTTTATAATTCTTAGCTTATGTTGATCTCAACATTTACTAATACGACTTTAAGATCTAAAATCTTACCGTCCGTAGGCTATATGTTAACATTAGTTAATGCACTGTGAACTAGGTTATGTTAGTTAATACATTACATTGTTAACAAATGAGACCTTATTGTAATATGTTACTTAAAAAAGCAGAAGACAAGACATATTTGGTTGTATAACTTGGGAATGATCAATAATGTGAGTCAGAAGCTTCTGATTCCAGCAACAGTTTCACAAGAGATCATTTCAGTTTAAAAGTATGGTAGTCATTCATACTGTAGTCATACACTGTGTGTCGGGATTTTTTGAATTTATAAGTAATGTTGTGCTGCTCTAAATGTCAAAATTTGAGTCTCTCTAAATCACGTGATGAAATACTCATTTGCAAATGTGTATAAACTGCACCTTATAACCGACTCTCACCTTGTATGATTTTTGCAGCTGGAAATGTGGTCCTCCACATCACTGTAGGTTCCCTCAGGACAGGGTTTGCACACAGTGTCTCTCTGGAACGTGTCTGCAACACAACTTCAGTTATTCAACAGCCCTCCTGCCACATGTTCCAGTCCCAACACTCTATGGAAGCGGTTCAAACCATTGCAGATCTTCCGACAGGTATAGCCACAAAACACATGCTTCAATGCAAACTGATTCATTTCTTAACCTTTCAATATATGAGTCATTGTGGATATTGTGGCAAAAGCGTAGTTCATGTAGTTCACACAGTTCGTGATTGGTTTAATTCGGGCTTAGTTTCCCTTCTCAGAGTCTTTGAACCAGTTTTCAGAGTCATCACACTGAAAAGGACATTAACTTAGGAAGACATATCGAAAGATATATAGATGGATAATGATTTAAGCAAGTGTATATGGCTAACAAGTCACTAAATAAATGCTACAACTACTATAAGGATCAGTTTAGGTACTTGATGAAGTGGACTGTTGTATTCCTTATTGTAGCAACTGTCAGAGTTTTAAAAGCGCACAGTGAGTGATCTCATGTAACTAACATGAGAGTTTAACACAGATTATATTTCACAATTGAAAAAATCCATTGGAAATTCCAGAGGGACCCCTGACAAATTTGCCTTTTGGATTGGCCTATATATATGTGTGTGTGTGTGTGTGTTCATAATGTGTCTGTTCATGTGTGTGTCTTGTAACGTATCATTTTAATTTATTGACAGAGACAAAACATAGTGTCAACTCAATATAGAATATATTTTTCAGAAAATATGTTTACACATATTTATAAAAGTTTATTTTTTCACACAAAAAAATAGATGTCTTTATGAATCTATTTATTTTGATATATTCAGAGGTCTGTCCCATTTTTGAAAAGCCGTGCATCACATAAGCAAAGGTTGATACTTACACTGATGAGTGACCCCTTTTCCTGGAAGACATGTGGAGACAGGACTGCAGTGATCGCAGTGGGAATCGCTCACTGCATGTGGACAGTAGTATCTAGGCTTACACTTACACTCCGTGTTTTTGTCTGCCGCACACTCCTTTACCAACTCCAAGTTACTGTCTGTCACACACATACAAAAAAACATTACTCCCTGAAAAAAACATGTAACATTATTTGTACGAAAAAACAAGAGTAAATGAATGTGAAATTACTGCTGGTGCACTCCCTGCAGGCTCGACACTCCTTCATGTTATTTTCCTCATCAGTAAATGTATGACGTGGGCAGGTTTTACACACTGGATTTGATATGCCATTACATTTGACATCCAAATAACTCCCTGAAAAAGAAAGAGCGCTCAGTTTTTGCACAATACTCCACAATCACAAGAGAAGTCTATCATTTATAAACTACGTATTTAGAAGCCAATAATGCAGTAATTTGTCGAAGTTGCTTGCATATGACCTGAAGAATAATCAACCCAGCACCATATTAGTGACTCTAAAATGTATTTGGAAAATGTCTTTATGTTTGTTTGCCCATATAAAGGGAGTCAATGGGGTCCAAAACAATAATATTGGACCCTAAAACACAATGAAACATTCTTCAAAATATCGTCTTATTTTTTCTGTAGAAGGAAGAATGTCATATACTCGTTCGGGATGAAGCAGGGTAAGTGATGACAGAATATTACTTTATTATTTTACATTGTATAGATTTCATTGCAGTAGATACAAGAAAACTAAGCAGCATATGCAATCAAATGATGCTTGAGTCTTTATATAAAAAAAATCACTTTTGCAATTATAAATAAAAGTCCAAATGAAGTCTGTTATGTTCTCCTTAAGTTCAGAGGTTATCACATTAATTATGAACATCGTGCACAATGTTTTGAGAATCAGAAAGTGTTAAAATACTTTTTGGCTTTGTTTTGAATTATACAGAGGTGTAAAGTCCAGGTTCAGTATTTTGTTCCAATCACCTGGATTTGCTAATTAGCACAGTTTTTCAGCCAGGAGATCAGCTCCAAATATGGTAGGACTTTTACTTTCTGACACCTTTACTTTACACCCCTGGAATAGTTTTATAATTGAAAAAATAAGCTTATTATTGTAAAATGTTTTGCTTGAGAACTGTCCTTGAGCTATCTTTCATTAAATTAAATGCTGTTTTGTTATATAATGTGGTGCATACATACTTTTAATTCCATCTAATATTATGATTTCAAATGAATACAGAATATCCTGCGTTATGTTTACATTTACATTTATGCATTTGGCGGATACTTTTATCCAAAGCGACTTACATTGAATTTCAAGGCCTACACATTTGTACATTCTTATCAGATCTTATGTTAATCTATAAATTCCGGTAACCATCAACAGCTCTCTTGTTAGCAGGGTTACAGTACAGGATGTCCTGCATAACAAGCTAGTGGGCTGATTTCACCTTGATGAAAATATGATGAGTAAAAATAAGACCCCGTGCCTTACAGTCAATTGTGGGAAGTTATGCAATTAGCATATAACTCAAAACGAAATGAATATAAATACACTTTTATGATCTTGTCACTGTAAAACATCGCAGTTAAGAATTCAGATCGCTCTTTTTCACATATTGTTTGGTGAACTGCTTTCATAATGTTGCTTGAAGTTTTTAAAAACGTATTTTTACCAACTATAAGTGATACAATGTTTAAAACACGCTGTTATAGATTTCAATATTATTAAAAAAAAAAAAACTGCATTCCCAGTAGCTTCGTTATATGCATCAAAAACGATTTTAATAAAAATTGACAACAAAAAAACTTTAAACAAAGTAGGTTGTACCGTAAGGATATGAAAATCTCACCTTTCGGACATTTCATTTCTCCCATCTCGGCTACTTTCACTGTTGTCTCGGTTTGCTCCTTTCAATGTGAATAGTTTTGTGCAGTCATATGAAGTCTTTCCTCTAAACAAGGACAACTTGAAGTGATTCTAAAAATCTTGATTCTTCTTTTTACGTTACCAAGGAATTGATGATTATTCGGTCATGCTGACCCACGCTATTGTGTCAGTTTTCTTCTCTTTCTGTCTGTCTGTCGAACAGACTTGCTCTATCTTTTTGTGCGGTGTCTCTGTTCATCGGCTGCGGGCAGGGGAATCATTTTTTCTCAATTTCCTTTTGTGGCTCTTTTTTTTTTTTTTACGTCACACACATTTAACCCCCTCTCTGTAACTCTTTCTTTTCTGCCCAATGGACTGGAAACCCCCGTTACTTTAATCCACCCTCTGCACTTTGTGCTTGCATTCTCTCGCCTTCCTTCCTGTTCACACAGCATTAAACCCTGAGACAGAGAGATAATGTCAACACGGCAACAAGACCATTTAGAATCATTTATTGTGTGATTTAAATTTCTCAGAAATAGTGTTGAGTAAAGCAGTCAACATTAATAAGGACATCCAAACTAAAACATCTTGAGTGTTTTAAATAACACCAGGCATGATTTTTTGTGTGTGTGTGTAAAATAGATGAGAATGTGTTCGTTTATCTGTTGTTATCATCTGCTCTGAATCACACATTTGTGTGATCTAAATGTCAGAAAAAATGAGGTCTGACATGAAAACCCACAGACTCTAGTGGAAGATACTCTCTCTCTGTGTGTGTGTGTGGTGTGTGTTCTTACACTTTTCCTCATTTGGTCAGAACTGTTAGCAGTGTAGTTTCATATCATTACTGTACTCTCTAATGTGAGTGCTGTTATGTCAGTACACAGAAGACCATCTAAATACCAATCAATATCTAATATTTTACTCTAGTAGTTAATGGAAAAAGGTATTTCCTCACATGATTTCTAATCTCCAACATATAGTTAAGACAAAATGTGCTGTCTTTGCAACACACATACACTATATATTTACAAGAACTGTTGGTGTCATAAAGATGCACTTTATTTAAATGGTAACATGGTGTCACTGTATCTGATATAGCATAGGCTACTGTAGATAGATTAAACAATAGATTTACCGAAAACAATATATTTTTTTAATAGCTAAATCTTGTACACAGTCCAATGTATGTGGAAAAAATATGAACGTGTAAAATAGTATATAGACAATATTTACTTTCAAATAATGAGCATATAGGGTGACCAGGAAGGGCCAGTTAGTCCTTTCTGATGTCACTCATCCATTGTGTATTGAACTTCAACTACTTCCTTCAGGACGGAGATTTAAACTCCCCTTGTGTAAATCAAATAGATATAGAAATTTCTTTATACCTGCTGCAGTTAGGTTTTTAAATGATTTATTGTAATTTGTGTGTTATTATATGTGTTTGTGTATTGCCTACACAAAGAATTGCCTTTGAGGACAACAAAGTTAAAGAAATAATTAATCAAATTAAATTAAACCACAATTAAATCAAAATGGACAATTCTTGTTTTCAATTTTTTTTTTATATTACAGAATTTATTATAAATAATTTTTTTTTTAAATCGAGAAGCTGTTTAACTTCATATGAATATAAACTTCATTTAACTTAATATCACAACAGGGAAGATAGACTATTGCAACTTCCCTTTCATGCCAACTTCAACATTGTATAATATTCCATACCCACCATTAGAATACTGTTAGATGTAAACAACACCTAAAAAACAAACATAAAACTATATGGCTGTCAAAGGAATCAAATAAATATGATTTATCTCATGATTTCTAACCAACCTTTTGAAAGTAGATGAATTACATGAGAAATGAAAGTGTTCCGAAATGTTTTTAAACAAATTTTCTATTATTTGTTTATACAAACTTTTCATCAGACTCAGTGCTTCTCCTATAGCACACTATGTGCTCCCCTGTTTTTATAAAGAAGAAGCCAAACTTGCGGATCTGTAAAACAACAACAACAACAGAAGTGAGATTCATTTCTTGCACTTCTCTTCTCTCTTTAACTATTTTACTTCCTTGGTTTTGTTAAGTAAAGCTATCTGTTTTACTTCTGTTGATTTGTATCACATAAAGTTTGCTGAGCTCATTCAAGCTACGAGACGGATGAATTGGTAATCTAGCATAATTTGTGGAGTATGTGTTGGCATTGGTCAGGTAATTGTTAAATGTTCTGTTGCATTGAATAAAGGTCAAGTGTAACACATTAACACATCTTCACAATTTTAAAAACTACACAACCTAATCAAAATAAACTCAATTGTTACTCCACTATCTAACATTTCGCATACTACCATAGTACACCTCTGTTAAACGACATATCAGAATCATAGACTGTAAACAATAGTATCATAATTCAATTAACATGTTTAATGACACCCTTTGACCTTTTTTGTGTTTGTTACGGTAAATGGTTGTTGGAAAAAAAATACAAACAATGGAGTGCAGATAACCTCTTCTTCCTCTGTGCCCCCATCTTTCCCCTCTGTACCTGCCCTCCCCTCTCCCTCTCCCCCTCTTTCTCTCTATTTTGTCTCCTCCCTCACTTTCCTCTGTTCCTCGTGTGTGACACTAGATGGCGTACTTACACTCTGGTCGGATAGCAAGCATGGATTTCAGCATTGGACTGTATTTGGACCCATGTATTTCTGGCTGTTGTGTAACTGCGCACAAGTTGTAAGCTAAATAAATATTGTTTATATTAGTAAAGACGTTGAATTTTACATTGAAAACAGTTCATTCATTTTTTGTGAACCCAATTAACACTAAAAATACACATTAAGAAAAATAAATGCTTTGTTTTACAGAAAAGCAATGCGAAAGGGTTAAATAAATATTTAAATATTTAATTGGGTTAAATAAATATAAATAATTTCATTGTTCTTTATTGTGTATATAGAGATAGTGAAGAATAACAAATAGCTAATCATCATCATTCATGGCTGTGACATAAAACCTGATGTAAAGGATATTTTTTTAAAGGGACAAGACCTTCAGTCTGTTTACTTAGATTGATATATTAGTAATTGTTCAAAAGTTTTTATTTCTTTTCAAATTTAAATGAATGAGTAAGCAATGTAAATGAGGCTTGTATCTGCTCCGCTACATGCGTCAGTTCAGGCCAGGCCAGGGTGAACGCCCACTTACAGATGTTGAGAAACACTCCTACACTCATGTTGACTGTTTTTAGGGGAAAAGGGGGCTGGGACATCATGATGCAAATAGAACATGAAAGTGAAAGTGCCGAAATAAAAGAGAGCGAGTTATGTTTTAACACTTCTCATCATGATTGTTTTCTGGTATGTATTTAACTTATAGTAATTTTTCAGCTAACCAAATATTGCATGGACTATCCATATCTATCATGATGCCATCTGTTTCTGATCTATCTATCTATCTATCTATCTATCTATCTATCTATCTATCTATCTATCTATCTATCTATCTATCTATCTATCTATCTATCTATCTATCTATCTATCTATCTATCTATCTATCTATCTATCTATCTATCTATCTATCTATCTATCTATCTATCTATCTATCTATCTATCTATCTATCTATCTATCTATCTATCTATCTAATCACTTTGTGCTACCTCTGGGTTTGTTCTTGTCTATCCTTGTTTTTTCTGCTTTATAAATTTTTAATCAAATTTTTCCATTATGAATTTTTTTAACTCTGATTTTTCCCCACCCTGTCCAGTGTTATTGTCCTCCTCCTTCCCATTTGTGGGTCAGTGCCGTCGAGTGGATGGGTTCAGTCTCCTGGACACCCACGAGGGTATGATCCCGATTCCAGCCTGACTTGGAAAGAGTGTGCTCCAACCGGACACAAAATCACACTCACTCTCGTACATTTGGACCTGGAAGAAAGCTTTGAGTGTGAGGACGATTCCTTGAAGGTGTGTTTGAAAGAGGTTTTTCTGTGTATCTGTGCACACTGAAGTGTTTTATGTTAAAGGGAGTGTGTGGAAATTAAAATGTTCTACCATGTATTATATTTTCTAAATACTGTAAATATTTTGGAAATATATTTTGTAAGTGACAACAATTTTTGTCCAGATATTTGCAGATGATAAGCTGCTTTTTAATCTGTGTGGACGCAAGTCCATGAAGGAGCTGCAGAGGTCTATCAACCCTTCGCTCAGCTCCTCCTCTGGAGGTTGTCTCTCTGTTTCCTTTCTCGCAGACTACTCAAACCCTGAGAGACACACTGGATTTCGAGGCTTTTATGCCATTCAGGGTGAGTAACAGATGATGAGTAATCCACTGAGTGAGTTATCTTAGCCAATGCTTTAACATCAAATCCTGCTGACTTTTAGATGTTGATGAGTGTGAGGACCCTGATAATGAGTGTACCCATCTCTGCAATAACTACATTGGAGGTTATCGCTGTTTCTGCAGACCAGGTTACAGCCTTGACCCTGATAAGCACACCTGCCAAGGTAATGAATGATTGTGGTCGGCTGAGATTTTAAGACATTTTTACTTGGGCTGTCAATTTAACAATTTAATTTACAATTGATTATGTAAGGATTCAATGTCAGTCAGCCAGTCATTATTGCATTATAAATGATTTTTATTATCCTGTAGATTACTCTGCTACTTAGCATAAATAAATGGACATCAAATATTGATTTTAATTTTAAAAATCTATATGATTTCTGAGCTATTATTTTAGATATTATCTTAAAGCTTAAAAAATGTGCTAAACAATCATCAGCATATCAATAAGAACTAGAAAAAAAAGTTTGATGAGACAAACTTTAAGTTGGCTTGAGAAAGCCAGACCAGAGAGTTTGAAGAAGTTTAAAGTAGTTTGAAGTTTGATAGATGGATTAGTTAGAAAGAAAGAATAGTTAGAAACATATATAATAGATAGATAGAAAGATTAGTTTCAATGAAAGAAAGATTAGGTAAAAAAGAAAGAAAGATTAGCTATAAAGAAAGAAAGAAAGAAAGAAAGAAAGATGGATAGATAGATAGAAAGATGAGTTAAAAAAAGAAAGATAGATAGATAGATAGAATAGCTAACATGATGTTAGTATGATTTGCAATTAGCTAGCATGATGCTAACATTATTAGCTTGTAGCTAGCGTGATTAACATGTTTTAGCATGATTAGCATGTTATTAACATCATGCTAACACGATTGGCATGTTGCTAGCATGTTTTAGCATGATTAGCATGTTACTAATATCATGTTAGCATGATTGGCATGTTGCTAGCATGTTTTTAGCAAAAGAAGCTATGTTTTTAGCAAGAAGATAGCTTGTTATTATCATAACAATCAACAAAGAAGATAACAATCATCAGCATATAAGAATAAAGGGCTGTTTACACCATACAATATAACTGTATATTGTCATGACAGAAAAAACTTTGAAGGCCAAATTTAGAATTAGTGTTGGTGAAGATGGTAAAGAGGTGTTTTCATCTCAAAATACAAAACATCCAATAGATAGAAGGCCAGTAGATTGCGTTACAATACGGAAGAAAAGACCTATTGAGTTTCATTGTGACTTTCAAATCTGAAAGATAAAAAAATTTATTGCAAAATGTATTGCAACAAATCCTTTTCAAGTCCGTGATGGGCTTCAGTTATATAAAAATAAAGCATTATATTGATTTCTAAAACCACTTATCTCTATTAATTTACATTTACATTTATTAATTTAGCTGACGCCTTTATCCAAAGCGTCTTACAATGCTTTGCTCAGGGACTCGCACACCAAAGGCATGTGTCTTATCCACTGCGCCATCACCACCACCTATTCAACCATTTACTTGTCAATCATAATAGCCTCGTGGTAATGGGGATAATTTTCTCAACAATTATTTATATAGGCTCTGGAATTAGGTGGGATTCATTTGATTAATTTGTCAGCATATCATAAAATTAATTTCTTATTCACTTGACAGCCCTAAATGATACTTAATCCCTACAGTGACATGTGTTGTTTTCTTTCCGTCTGTTAGTTAGCTGTAGTGAAAATCGCACAGGCTCTCTAGAAGGTGTGCTGATGTCACCTGGCCGGCCCGAGCCGTATCCTGAAAACTCTGTGTGTTCTTACACTCTGGCTGTAGAGGAAGGTCTGCAGTTTGAGCTCACGTTCACAGGCGTGTTTGATGTGGAAATGAACGAGAACGGACAGTGTATCGACTCATTAACTGTATGCAACATGTTTTATACAACATTATCTCTTTTTCTTTGTATTTTTCCAAAGAAAAATGACCTTTTCTTTCTTTCTATACCCATTCCTCTTAGATAAAACCTGTCTCTGGGGATGTTAAGACATTTTGCGGAACGGATCTCCCTCCGTTCTTCCTCACAAGGTCTCAACGTGTTGAGATTATCTTCAGGACAGACGATAAAGGAGCAAACCGAGGATTTAGCCTCAGTTACACAGTGAAAGGTGTTGCCCCCCCCCCCCATTTTTAAAACTAATCAAGGATATACTGATTTGCTCATGATTGGTGGAACCAAATGTAACAATCTGCTATTGGAAAACCCCCCACTAATACGAATATTGATTGCTGAAAAGTTCTGTGAATTGTTTTACAACTGTTTATTTACTTTGTCTTAGAGATGAATTGTGTTGGACCTGTGACGCCAACATCTAGTCTGATTTCACAGCATTCTGATTCCAAATTTCCCACGGGCTCCAAGGTTAAAGTGAAGTGTGACAAAGGACATGTATTACAATCAGTAAGTATTTCAGGCTGGTTTTACCTGACCTGGCTGAAGAGCTGCAGATTAAAGTTATGGGTTTGTCGAGAATTCTGTACACTGTAAAAAGTAATAAGTTGACTTTACTAGGAAAAGCTGTGGAAACTGATTGCCTCAAAATTTTCAAGCAAATTAGGTCATCATTTTTGAGTTGATACTACTCTCTACTTCTTTGTAGAGTTAACTTGTGTATTTGTAGAGGTTACCATAAAACTTGAGTACAGGTAACTTAATAATCTCAAGTTAAGGCAACTTACAGATTTAAGTTGAGATTTGTAAGCAGAACTTACACAAAACAGTTAATTTAACATGTCTGCTTGTTCTACTTACTAGAGGAATGTGTGGAAACTGATTGCCTTAAATTTCTCAAGCAAATTGTACTCAAAATTCTGAGTTGAGAATACAAAGAAAGACAACACATTTGGCAAACCACTAGAATGTTTATTTGTTCAACAACAATATGTTAAAACATTACTGGCCCGCCAACAACATTTTAGAAATAAAGCACATAATGCACTCAAGAAAAAAAAACAAAGTACTAAAGACAATAAAAACAATGTTTCTTTGTTTTTAACATCTTTACAAAGTGGTTGAAAGCAGAGCATGCAAGTCACACAGTTTGGTACAGAATTCCTTTCCTACTACAGTTCTCTTTAAAATTCTCTTCTTATAAAACTATTCCAAAACCAAACAAGTAACATAAATAAGGCTTTTTTTTCTTTCCTTTTTTCTTTTCAACAATTGAAAAACAGTGAAGTATCTATAAAACAGTACTGAACAATTTTCTTTAGAGTTCTCTTAAATGAACACTCCACTGTTTTATTTCATATTAAGGGAATAGTTCACTTTGAAATTAATTTTTGATATGTTGTATCTTACTTCAAGGGCATCCAAGATGTAGGAGTCTTTGTTTCCGCAGTGGTTTCAATTTTGATATTTTTAGGTCAAAGCGTTCTCGTCTGTCAGTCACATAATGCAGGTCTATGGTCACCACCACAAAGAGCATGCACAGAGAAGTCAAAATTAAATTTAATTTAATGACTCGTAAATGTAAGTACACATTGATGGCCTAAGACACGAAACGAGCGGTTTGTGTGAGGAAACGAACCGTATTTATATCGTTTTTACCTCTTGTTAACAGCCATGTCCAGCTGATCTGGATCAGATGTCCAACTGAACCGTATTGAACCATGTCCAACGTTCTGCAAGAAGTGATCTCGCGCGTCTACGTCACGCATTGTTTACACAGAGATTTACCTTTCACTAAACATATTTAGATATATCGAAATCATTTTTTATTGCGATTTCCTGTATATCTAAATATGTTTAGATCTTCACAGTGAAAGGTAAAACTTCCGAAATCTCCGTGTAAACAATGAGTGACTTAGACGCGCGCGAGATCACTTCCAGCGGAACGTTGGACATGGTTCAGTTCGGTTCAGTTGGACATCTGATCCAGATCAGTTGAACATGGCTGTTAACAAGAGGTAAAAACGATATAAATACGGTTCGTTTCCTCACAAACCACTCGTTTCTTGTCTTAGGCCATCAATGTGTACTTACATTTACAAGTCATTAAATCATGTTTAATTTTGACTTCTCTGTGCATGCTTTTTGACGTGGACCCCCTAAACATCCATTGTATGACTGACAGACAAGAACGGTTTGACCGAAAAATGTAAAAATTGAAAATACTGTGGAAACAAAGACACCTACATCTTGGATTCCCTTGAGGTAAGATAAAACATATCAAAAATTAATTTCAAAGTGAACTATCCCTTTAAACTATGTTATTTCCTCACAAAGACGAGTTGATACATACCTCTCACGTCTCAGTGCGTGCACTCAATCGCTTTAGCGCGACGCGACACATTGATAGCACTTAGCTTAGCACAGTTTATTCATTAGGATCCAAAAAGAGATGAAGTTAGAAGCGACCAAACACCTCCACGTTTTCCCTATTTAAATACAGTTACACGTTGGTAAGTAGTTACATGACCGAGAATGGTGTATGATTACACCAGTGTAAAATGGATAACTATAATGTATGGCGGAATAGCACTTGAGAGCACTTCGACTTGGCGCAGTAATATCATCACTCCTAAAAAATCCTCTCATCATCAGTAGTGATGATATTACTGTGCCAAGTCGAAGCGCTCTCAAGTGCTATTCCGCCATACATTGTAGTTCTCCACTTTACACGCTTAGAAAAGCGGCACATTTTATTTTGTCACCATACTTGGTCGTATAACTACTTGTGTAACTGTATTTAAATAGGGAAAATGTGGAGGTGTTTGGTAGCTTCACTGCTTGGATCCTAATGAATGAACAGGGCTAGTTAAGGGCTATCAAAGTTTCGCTGCACGTCAGAGAAATTAAGTGTACGGCGCACTGAAACGAGAGAGGTATGTAACAACTTGTCTTAGTTAAGGTAATAAAATAGTTTAATATAAAAAAAATGGTGGAGTGTTCCTTTAAAGACAGCTCATTGCTTGTGGAAGATTTTCAAGATCATCCACAACCACTGTACCTTCCAGAATGATTGCCGTTGTTGTGGCATCAAGATGCAGGGAGTAGGGTATGGCAGCGGTTGCAGACGATTCGGAAATCACTGTCAGAACTCATTTCAATGTTGGACATATCTTCATTGTCATCACAGTCCTAAAAATGGGAATAGCATATAACAAAAATTAGGTCATAGAACAAGACATATTTTAACGGAACACTCCACTATTTTTTCATATTAAACTATGTTACTCTCTTTACTAAGACGAGTTGATACATACCTCTGTCGTCTCAGTGCGTGCACTCAATGCCTCTGGCGTGCGGAGACACTTTAACACTTAGCTTAGCCCAGTTTATTTAAACAGAGAAGCGACCAAACATCTCCACATTTTCTCTATTCAAATGTGGTTACACGGCCAAGTATGGTGACACAAAATAAAATATGGCGGTGTTTGGTCACTTCTAACTTCATCTCAATTTGCATCCTAATGAATGAACTGGGCTAAGCTAAGTGCTAACAATGTTTCTCCATGCACCAGAGCGATTGAGTGCAGGCACTGAGACGAGAGAGGTATTCATAGAGAGGTATTCATCAACTCGTCTTTGTTAAGGGAATAACATAGTTTAATATGGAACAAAATGCTGGAGTGTTACTATAAAGGGATAGTCCACTCAAAAATTAAAATCTTGTCTTAATTTACTCACCCTCAAGTTGTTATAAACCTGTATGAGTTTTTTTTTTTTCATCTGCTGAACTGAAAAGAAGATATTTTGATGAATGTTGGTAACCAGACTGTTGAGAGTAGCCATTGACTTCCATAGTGGGAAAAAAAACTATGGAAGTCAATGGCTAATCTCAACTGTTTGATTACCGAACTTCTTCAAAATATATTATTTTGTGTTCAATATAAGAAAGAAACTCAAAGAGGTTTGGAATAACATAAGAGTGAGTAAATAACAACATCATTTCATTTTGGGTGATCTATCCCTTTAAGAGCACATAGTCATTAAAATATGAAACTAAATTAATAACCCTTTGTGTCTAAATGTAAAGGCCTTTTCAAAGAGGACACAGCAGTGAATCCAGGGGGAAAAACATTCATCAAACCACTGCATGAAAAGACAAATAAAACTGATGGCCGGTTATATAAATTAAAACTAATATAAAATGTATCTTCTAACTGTCTTTTTTCTTCTAAACTCTTAATTTATCTTTCACTTTCTTTTCTCCAACCCTTACTTTGTTTCACTGTCCTGACAGTTTTTCATGCCTTTCTTCTTGCCAGATATCAACTGTTTGAAGAACAGTTAGACTGTTAAACAAGAATCACATCAGAGATGAAAATACTTACAAAAGATGTCTTGTAAAAATCATTGTGGTCCTCCTCGAAAAGTAGTGGTAGGCCATGATGAAGAACGCTGTTCGTTCCGCATTGATATTAGATTTCTGCAAAGTTATAAAAATGTATATTGAATAGCACTCGATACTAGCAAAACGTCAGAGCAAAAAACAACAGTAAAAGCAACATATGTTTTGCAATCGAGACATAATTGTGATATGTCGATGAGCTTACGTCATTTTGAATCTGCTGCAGAATCTTAAGTTTGGAGCCAATAGTATCTCCAGATTTAGCCTTGAATTTATTGATGAAACGTTGAGCGAATCTGTCACAAAATAAAGACAAAATAAGGTAATAACTGCTTGTTAGTTACACTTCTTAATTAATGCGTCATGTAATTAATTTTCATGTGAACGACACGTGAGCATTGAACTTTCTAGAAAGAAGGAAAGTTACGTTAGCTGCTATCTAGGCCGCACAGCCAGGGTTTTTACATTTTAGATAAACCCCAAACTTAAACGATTAACACAGCATACAAACTGTAACTAATATAAAACACGTGTTCAGTAAAAATCGTTTTTTAATCTAGTAACTTATGCCGCTTGTCTCAACTGGTCTCATTCGACATAAAACTAACGTTACTTCAGTGTGTCTTTTCCTCTTACTGCACAATGAGCAAAATAAATTCTGTTTTTAAGCTATACAATGACATTAAAGTTGATAAATAGTTGTTCAAGAGGCTAGCATACCTAGTTTTGCTGCCGCATCCATTCCCGAACACGAGCTGAAGTCCCTCGTCGATCTCGTCTCGTCTTGACGTCTTCCTCAAGTTCAACCGTCCAATTGCGCAAATGCGCATGCGCGAGTTGAAAAAAAAAATAACCGAGTTGTTTCGTCTTATGCTGAAACTTAATAACCAAAGTAAATGTATAAAGATTTGTTTCTAAAAATATAAAGGACTGTGAAGTAGCAGCCGATGGGCTTGCTTTTTATCTTCCCAGTTATTTTTTTAAGCGTGCAGGAAAAAAAGATTCAGAACCTATTAACTATATATTAACCTATTAACTATTTTCAAACTAATTGTATGGTATTTACTAAAAATGTTGTTAATTTCACTATTATTATTATTATTACTATCCAAATTCTGTGCTCCAGAAATTTTCAACAGTGTGAAAATGCCTTTAGTACAATACACTTACCAAACTTAAGTACAATGTACTAGATTTGTTTAGTTTGACTATTGCATCCACCTAAAAGTTCACAGTACACAGTGTAATCAAGTTAAATCAACTAAGTTTCTAAAGTAAGTTAAATTCACTAGTTTTTCTTAAGTAGAATCAGCAATTACTTTTTACAGTGTATGTTAAAAATGAAGATGATTTAGATGAATTATATAATTAATAGGAAGTTATAAATAGCCTAAATTATTTATAAAGAAAAATACATATAATTGAATTATTAATAAATATAATTTAACTACTTTAAATGTGGAAAGTATGCTTTTGCAGTTAGATGATAGCAGTCAGTATGTACTTTATATGGTAATTTATGAGTCAAACCATTTTTAATAATTGCAGACACTTTCTGTTTCACAGAAGGATTCAGCCGAGGTTGAGTATGAATCCACATGCCAGAGTAATGGAAATTGGAGTCCTGTTATCCCCTGTGAACGTGAGAAAATGTCTTCTCATAATGTTTCCTTTCTTGATTTTTGAACAAGTTGTGTTTTTAAGATATACATGGGAAGATATCTTATATTTTTAGAGGATAATTTTCTAGCCTCTCTTTGATACTTCGAATTAAATGGGCTGTCTTCACTACCATTTTCCCTATATAGGCTACAGTTAATGATGTGATGTGGTGATGTTACGAGCTCACAAAACTGCTATTAGCACAATTTTATTACATTATACAGTATTATCAAAATATTGAAGAAGTTGGTTATACAGGTGTTGTCATTCTATTACAGGTTTAATAACTTTTTTTTCTAACATAAAGATCTCTGAACATTTAAATACAATAAAACAAAAAACACAAAAAAAATGCACAACACATGTTTCAAACAGATTCAAACAGAATGAGGTGTCATTAGTTAGCAATAGTTAACATTAACTTACATTAACAATGAGCAATAACTACATGTTTTACAGATGTTATTATTCTTTGTTAACATTAGTTTATCGTAATTCATTGTCGGCTGTATTTCTGTTGTTCCTAAAGTGCCGACTGTCTACTGTCAGAGAGTAAAAGTGCATTTTTATTCAGCGTGTCTCCTTTACTCGTTCATCCATGCTTCTTATTGGAAGCCCTATTGGGGTTGTTTATATCCTATTACTTTACACATCCAAATATGTTTTTTTTTTTTTTGCATTAAGCTGAAAAAAAAAAACCCCTCTTCTTATTTTCCTTCTCAGCCGTGGATTGTGGCAATCCAGAGCTTCCTGAATTAGTGGAGCTATCAGAAAATGATCCCCCAACAACTTATCTGAAACAAATCAGTTTCAAGTGCAAATCTCAGTATTATCAACTGGATAAAACTGGTGAGATGTCATTGGTTTATGTGAACATCATTGTCATAATTCTTGATAAAAGTAGTTAGTTCCACATCTTTGTCTGTCTTCCCTTTTCTCAGGCAGTTTTACCTGTAATGCTGATGGTAATTGGGTGTCTGAGAGTGGTCAAAATTTATCAGAAGATTTGCCTAAATGTGAACCAGGTACTCAGTCATTCTGAATATGATTATAACCCCAAATAAGCTTATTAGGTGTATTTTATTTATTTATTTTTCATATATTTCATATTTCTCTCTCTTTCTTTCAGTCTGTGGAATGAATACAGAAGTCTCTTCTGGTGGCAGAGTCTATGGTGGGAAGCCAGCCACACTGGGGCAGATTCCCTGGCAGCTCTTACATAAGTCAACTCCCAGAGGTGGTGCGTCTCTGATCAGTGATTACTGGGCTCTAACTGCTGCTCATGTGGTGGATGGATATGAAGAAAACCCTATGAATTGGTTTGGAGGACTAATTGATGGTCAGGACAAAAACCCAGTCATTATGGTGACAGAGAAGATCATAATTCACCCAAATTATCAGAAAGTTGGTAAAAATGTAATACCAAACAATTTTGATAATGACATCGCACTCATCAAAATGTCTGCCAGGGTGACACTCGGTCCAAACATCAGGCCAGTGTGTCTGCCAAACAAAACAGATGAACTTGTGGAGGAGGGCACAGTCTCAGGTTTTGGTAGAATGGTAGAAAATGGAAAGGAAAGGAGGAGTCAATATCTGCTTCATGGACTTGTTGAGATATATTCATCTTCTGATAAATGTCATTCAAGAGGTTTACCTGTCACTCATAACATGTTCTGTGCTGGAGGAGATCAAGTAGACAGTTGTAAAGGTGACAGTGGAGGTCCTTTGTTTTCCCCTGTTCTGGGCTATGGGTCTCCAGAAAAGCCTTATCGTCTCGCAGGCATTGTATCATGGGGTCCTCCTGGATGTGGAAAGGAAAGCTTGAAGGGCTACTATACTAAAGTCCAAAACTACCTGGGTTGGATCAAAGAAACCATGGAAAAAAACTAACATCAGCATACTAAAATTATATTCACCTACAAAGTTTCTGTCTATTTAATCCGCTATATATAAATGATTCAAGTTTTATATCCCCCAATAAAATCATTTTCACATAAAAAGCCTTTCTAGATTGGCCTTCCTCTTCAGTCAAATCAAATAAACCTGATTTTTATTGTGACTTTTAAACTCATTGCCAACATGCGATGCCTTTATTCCTCAAAACTGCTTAAGAGACAAACATATTCTTTGTAAATGACAAGGATGGAAACATATAATCTGTAAATAAAAGATGCATGAAAATGATCTGTGTAGACTTTAACCCTTAATGTTTGAGTAAACAGATTGAAAACGCTGCAAGGTTTACGGGAAAAGTAGTCATCTCTCTCTCTCTCTCTTCTGCCATAGCCAAATCAAACAAGTTTACCTTTTTTGACTTTTAGACTCTTGTTCTCTCATATGTGATTGTTAACCACATACACTTTATCACAATAAAACCTCACGACTGCATTAAGTGAAACAGTTATTGACATCCGCATAGCTGTTATGGATGGAATTCATCGAATAATTTGGATTTGGTAAGTGGTTTTTAGATTTAATTCTTAACATTTGCATATATTAGAATTACAACATATAATGTATATTTATTGATTTAATAACAATCATTGGTGGACATCAACATTTCTTAGCCATCTCAGAACATCCTGTGTCTATTTACTGAATTCTTCCAGCATGACACAATTATGATCTTTTTCTATGTTTTACATAAACACTGATCCAGCCTGCTGTGGGCTTGTGTGAATGTGTGTGAATGCAAGCCGGCCTTGTTTGGAGAAGTGTCTTCTCCACAGTACCCTCAGCCATATCCAGAGGATCTCCAAGAACAGTGGGACCTGGAAGTGCCTCAAGGCTACCAGATCAAGCTAACATTCAATCACCTGGACATTGAGCCCTCTCCAAACTGTTACTACGATTCTGTCTCGGTTAGTGATGTTTCAACTTAGATTTTTATTAGCATGTGGATATGTTGCACAATGCAGATCTTATACTGTGTTGTGGGGAAATGTCTCCAAAGAAAGGCATACTCTTCACTAGAATTGAAAATGTGAGTCACTTTTTGTCACTTGGACGTGTCATTTCTAATACTTCAGCACACGTGGTTCATTTATATTCAGGTTTTGTCTGATGAGAAGGTTCTGGGGAAGTTCTGTGGGCAGAATTCCACCGACAGGTTTCACCCAGGTGAAAAGCCCATCCTGGCTCCCGGTAACCGTCTCCAGCTGGTTTTTCTGACGGACGACTCAAATCAAGAGTCACACTTGGGATTCACTGCATTCTACCAGGCTCTTGGTGAGTTACAGTATACTGTATACACATTTCAAGCATATTAACATTTTAGTGTTGTGTACATAATATGTTCTCACCCTAAACATGATCAATCAGGATGTAAAACATTCTGCTTTTAGATTTTTAATTCAAATCATTCAACAGTTTGGTCCACAAATTTGATTATTATGGAGTTTATTATTAAAAAAGAAAAAATCTGAGTGAAGTTCACAGGAAAATGTTGTTCATGGGATGGAAACATTCTCGTGGGATGGAAACATTCACAAATGTTGTATGAGTTATATTCACACTTTGGAGGGTAACAAAATACACTTTGGACAAGTGTCTTTAAGAGAGAGTTATTGAATCATCCGCTCAATTGATTCACTCAGTAACAAAACACTACTATGGTGTGTTGCTCGGGGACTGTGGCTTAATTTTGGAAATATTAATGCAACAAAAATAGAGACAGTAACTGGCAATAATGTGTCTAAAATGTAAGTTGCTGAATATGTATTTCTTGTTTATTGAACTGTTGTTTAAATGCAATATAATGAAGAGCACTGTTGCTAGTGTCGTGTGATGTTATTTAATTAAATTTGCTACAAGTTCAGAGCTGTATTATTTTTTTCTAAAACACTTTTCCCCAAATTTGTTTAAAATGTCTTTATACCAGCTACCACCCCTGCTGTTACAGGAGCTTCCCACATGCGCGCACTTTGTTGACTAGCTCGTTACCGAATCAAATTCAGTGCTGGAGCTGAAGGACGCGTTTACTAGCGCCGAGCGTAGAGGAGCACAGTGGATGTAGTTACATCATGTAAGAATCACATGTAAGAAAATACATAATTTTATCATTGTGAATATAAACAACTAACATGGCTGTTAGTACTCACTATCAAAGCTAGCATATCGATACTGGTAAAGTTGAAAATATATTGAGTTTGATTCAGTAACGAGCTAGTAATATAAGGCAAAGCTAAAAACAGGTTGCATTGATACACATTTTCCTGTTACCATCAGTTTCACTGGGATGAAGGTGAATTTCGTGTAAGATTCATAACGTATACGGTGTTTTGCATGTAAGAGCTTCTACGATGATAGCCTCTCCTCTTCCAAAATGAGCGAGTCAACCAAGTGCGTGCATGTGGGCACCTCCTTTAGCAGCAGGGGTGGTAGAATTTGTTTTAGAAAAATACTGCGTATTCTGCCTTTAACACCATAACCCTTTGTGTACATCTTTTAATGCTTGATATCCTTATATACTTGTTCCCTTAGACATAGATGAGTGTTCATCGTCCAGTGTGTTGAAAGATCCACCATGTTCACAGATATGTCTCAACACTCTTGGCTCCTACCTGTGTGCATGTCACCATGGTTACACACTAAAGCCCGACCAACGCACCTGTGCCTGTGAGTGTGTTCATTAAAAACAATACGGGCGTCATGATCGTTACAGTCGTTCGTTTTAAACAGTTTATTTCTATTTTCTAATCAATAGCTTTCTGCATTTAATCTCTGCTTTCAAACGTATAGTCATCAAAATAATAGCATAATAAAAACAATCCTGTCATGATTAATGTAATGTATAAAAACAATATAAAAATCAGGATTATTGTTAACCAAAAATAAAACGAATAAAAAATGTTTAAAATAAGTGTTTTAAACTTAATAAGTGAAAATAAGTATTGCTTAAAACTAAAACATACATATATATATATATATATATATATATATATATATAAAATCGTACAATATACATTATATGATTTAAAATAACAAAAATGACAAAACCACATAACAAAATTACAAAACATTAAACTAAAATTAAAACTAAAAAAAGCTCATAAAAATATTAATAAAATAGTGTAATAAAAAAATAACACTGATATAAAGCATGGTCTAACATGGCATCCTGCTGAATAAATAATAACATATAGACCTTATGTATTATATCTTCCGGTTTGTATTTCATGAACATAAGATCTTACTGATTTATGAACAAACTGCTCATTTTAAAAACTTCACGGTCTACTGAAATTTGTTATGACGTCCACTTCAAAAATTACAATGCTCATGATAACTTTTGTTAACTCTACAATAAGTAAATCCACTTCACCAGCTAATTACTTTTCAACAGCGATGCCATAGAAATATACAGAGCTATACCGCAGAAACAGAAGTTCAAAGACAAAATTCTAAAGATTTCTCTGGTGCATAACATCTATAGAAAGTTGTGTGTGTTTTCCACCTGTGCTAGTGGACTGTGGAGGTGGGGTACACAGTGAACTAGAGGGGACCATCTCCAGTCCCGGTTACCCAGACATGTCCCCACCAGATCTGGACTGCATCTACAGCATCTCTGTGCAGCCAGGCTTTATTATCACTCTCAACTTTAGCCAGAACTTCCAAATAGAGCAGGTCTACAATCAAGGACCAACCTGCCTCTACCACTGGCTGCAAGTATGTTTTGCTATAAACATCTGTCTATCTTCAGATGAATACATTTTTTAGGTTTATTTCTCATTTTTTCTCAGGTGTCTGTCTTAGGAAAAGATCAGAAGTACTGCGGAGAAAAAAGCCCTGGGGTCCTCGACACTGGCACTCACTCTGTCCAGCTGGAGTATCACACTGACAGATACGGACAGAGCCAGGGCTGGAGCTTACATTACACCACACAGAGTGAGAGAGAGAAAAATGTGCTGGATCTTTATTTACTTGTTTCCACGTGAATGTCAGAACACTATAAATCTTCAAATATTTTTGCTAATGTAATGTTTGTCTGACGTGCTCACATCTCTTTTAAAGGGGTGAAGTGTCCGCATCCGGGCAGTATCAGCCATGGAAAAGTCACACCAGTTTTTGCCCAGTACTTGTACAGAGACTACATTCATGTGCGATGTAACCCAGGATACAAGCTCATGATGGTGAGATTAAAAATCATGCTTAAAACTTGAAGCAAAAGAGTCATCTGATGATGATAGCCCAATTAACATGTGACCTTTGCAATCTGTAAGGGAGAGAAAGAGATTGCAAGTTTTAAGTCCATGTGTCAGAGTAATGGACAATGGCATTTGACACTGCCAGAGTGCAAGAGTAAGTAAATGCATATCACCTGATTTCAAATTTTGCTATATTTCATCCATTCATCATTTTGTTTCTGTGTTATTGCAGTTATTGACTGTGGAGAACCAAAGCTGCTGCCTAATGGAGGCTTTCAGTTTATCAGTGGAGAACACAACGAATATCTCTCTGTCATAGAGTATCGCTGCAATGAGCCTTACTACAAATTTAAGGATACTCCTAGAGGTCGAAAACTGTACAAAACCCCAGGATTTTTCGTGTGACTGACAATTCCTGACTTTTAAAGCTACATTTCTTTCTTTTTCTTGTGTAGTAAGTTTCAAGTGTGCAAGTGACCGGAAATGGACAGAAGACAACAACATTGATGTTATTCCTCGTTGTTATCCTGGTAATAATAGTGGCTTGACAGACAGATATTAGATTTTATATTATTTTGTACTTGTACTTATTTAAAGGGATACTCCACTTTTTTTGGAAATAGGCTCATTTTACCACTCCCCCAGAGTTAAACAGTCGAGTTTCACCGTTATCCAATCCATTCACCCGATTTTCTGATATATAACCAGACAGTTTCTGGTCTCATTGACTACCATAGTATATATTTTTCCTACTATGGAAGTCAATGAGACCAGAAATGGTCTGGTTACTGATATTCTTCTAAATATCAGAAAATCAGGTGAATTGATTCGGAAACGGTAAAACCCAACTGTTTAATTCTGGGTGAGTTGTAAAATGAGGCTATTTCCAAAAAAAAGTGGAGTATCCCTTTAAAGCTACACTGTGTGATTTTTACCCCCATCTAGAGGTGAAAAGGTATATGACCATTCAGTGAATATTAGTTTCTGTTCCTCTCAATTCCGATTTCGTTTTAACTCCTACGGTGGCCAATGTAGTCCAAGATTAACATGGCTTCCAGTTCGACCTCGTCCATGAGTGTTAACTCAAACGTAAACGCGAAAGGCGAAGCTTGAATTAGCGAGTATGTCCCTCTTTGGCTAATGTACTTTCAAGATGGAGGGGCAACATGGCGACCGACATTAGAACCCCTTACCCGTATGTATTTTCAATGGCATATTACACACTCACGAGAATACTTTATTACTTGAACGAAGTAAATATACATTAATGAGCACATATATTTTTTAAAGAACTAAGTGTTTTTAGCTAAGAATAAACTAAAAGAGTTACACAGAGTAGCTTTAATGTTATTTAAAGTATATTTTGATATATACATTTTTTTTATGTTTTAGTGTGTGGAATGAATACAGAAGTCTCTTCTGGTGGCAGAGTCTTTGGTGGGAAGCCAGCCAAACTGGGGCAGATTCCCTGGCAGCTCTTACATACGTCAGGTCCCAGAGGTGGTGCGTCTCTGATCAGTGATTACTGGGCTCTAACAGCTGCTCATGTAGTGGATGGATATGAAAATGACAACATGACTTGGCTTGGAGGAATGATTAAGGATGATGACAAAAACCCAGTCACTATGAAGGCCGAGAAGATCATAATTCACCCCAATTATTATAAGGTTGGTCGGGGTGGTTCTCCAACAACCTTTGACAATGACATTGCTCTAATCAAAATGTCTGCCCAGGTTCCACTCGGTCGAAACATCAGGCCAGTGTGTTTGCCAAATCAAACACATGAACTTGTAATGGAGGGCACAATGGGTATTATATCAGGTTTTGGGGGGTTTGATGGGAAGATAAAAAGTACAATTTTACGATACGGGCTTGTTCAGGAATATACTCTTGATAAGTGTGAATCAGGGGATCTGCCTGTCACAGATAACATGTTTTGTGCTGGAGACGATGTTAAAAGTGTTGACAGTTGTAAAGGTGACAGTGGGGGTCCTCTGTTCTTACCCATGTTGGGCTATGGAACTAAAGAGCAGCCCTATGAGGTGAGGGGCATTGTGTCATGGGGTCCTGAAAAATGTGGCTCTAAAGGTTTCTACACTAAAGTGCAGAACTATCTTGACTGGATAGAAGAAACAATGGCAAATAATTAGCATAAAAGCTCATTAAATAAAATTGGTGCCTAATTCTGTCTATTCTAATTTGTTAAAATGGTACAAAATAAACTAGCAAAGATGATTATTTTATAAATTGATCTCCCTCTGCTGGGTAAAAATAAAGTAGCGTTGGTAACACTTTACAATATGGGTGCACTAATATGCATTAGTTCATGCGTAACTAATGCATAATGTTAATGTATGCCTCATGAAGAACTAAAACATTAATTAATTACTGCACCAGCAATGGTTACACTATGACAACTTTTATTAATTAATCATTAACAAACATTAATGTTTAACAGATAATAGCACGGTAGGCCTATGTAGCTCTCCGCCTAATTGTAACTTTGATAATGTTGTTTATGCTCAAACTGCAACATTACGCCCTAACTAAAGTTAGAAAAGTGAAATCAAAGGCTTTAATTAACTTGTCTGTTACTTTTTGTGCAGACGCTAGGTGTCACTAACTAGTGAGCAATGCTGAATGAAGTTTCGAGTGCGAGGTCTCATTGGTTCAGGAAGCCTCATTTTTTCCATCACTACTCATATGCTCACAGCCTATGGAACTAAAGAGCAGCCCTATGTGGTCGTTATTTATGGATTATTGTGAAATAAAACAAGCAATGAATAATTGAAATAAATTTTAACTGATATAAAATAGAATATGTATTTTTTGTTTAACTTCATTAACTAAAAATAACAAAAACAAACAAATAAAAACATTTAAAAAAATTAAATATTTTTAAAAATGAAAAACTCACAAAATTGATAAAAAACACACACACACACACACACAACACAATTTGTAACACTTTAAAAAGAAAATAGTGAAAACTATGTTTCACATAAAAAGGTCCAAACAGCCGTAGTGGGCATTGTGAGAACCTGTATGTCCTGACACTTATGTGTTGGCGTTTCCTCCACTTTCTGAGGATTTAGTGAAGCAACAGATGTCCGAAGTCAGTCCTTATCCTATTATGTGGATGGTTAAGAGTTAGAGAGAGACAACAGACGAGGCTTTAGAAAATGCTAAGAAGCTGCGTGAGTTCATGTTTCCTGAGAGGATGGAATACTGGTGGAACTTGTTGTATGTTCTCACTTTCTGGGAACTGACTCAGATGCCATTGTGCTATTGCCTGATGCGACATAAGCTACCAGTTTTATGGATTATGCCAGACAGCGGAGATCCAGCGAGGGGCAACATTACGGCAGAGGTTCTTCCTGCTGTTGAACTAGCATTGAGTCATTTGAGCGAGCAGCCGTCTCCTCTTGGCAGATATGAGCTTCAGTTTCACCTCACAGACTCGGAGGTAATACAACAACATATACACTTCTTTTTCTCATTTGATTTTAATGGTGAAGCCAAAAGAAGCTCAGATAGGCTACTACTAATGGACTCTCAAATGGTATAGATGGGTAGATGGCCTATTCATTAACTAGGCTATTGTCGTTCCAAACCAAAACTGACTTTCCATCTATAAAGAATATTTTGTTATATATAACAGACATATTTGGGAAAATGTCTTTTTTTTATCCATGCAATTAAAATGAATGGAGTCCAAAATAACCCACCGACTTTTACTACATGGGCAAACACATAAATTCACAATATGTTCTTTAAGAAAGGAAGTCCTATAGATTTGGAATTACATGAGTGTGGGTAAATGATGACAGAATTTTCATGCTTGGGCAAACACTTTAAATTCTCTCAGATAGAATTTTTTACCAGTATGTTAATTTAAAAATAAAAATAGAATTTCTGCATTATTCCTGCATGATGCAAAAGCATTATTAATTTCTGCTACGATTAGAGTTGGGAGTCTGTAATTTTGATTGTCCTGCAAACAGCCTGTGTTGCTATAGCTATAATGCCATTGTTAATAAGGATGAACTTTAAAAATGTAAGAAATTGACTTAAATTAAAAGTCTCTCTGTATTTTTATTTTATTTTTGTTAATTATCTTTGCTTCTAAGATAAGGTACAGTGAAAATCACACACACTATAATCTGCCATGACCCTTACCATAGATTACCAGTTGACTACTGTTGTACAATTGTTTAGCTGGTTAAATTGTAGAAACCAAATTACAAAGCAAATTATCAGTGCATTTTCTGCTGTATTCCCAGCAAAAAAAGAGTAGTTATAGTTATCTAACAACATATACTGTTAAATTTGTTGCTTTAAAAATGGGACAAAGGTAAAAGACATCCAAATTTGTAGTGTTGTTTAAACCCATTACATGGTAATTCACGTGATACCACTAGCCTCAAATGTTCAATGTGTAAAATGTGTAAAGAAAAAAATAAACCTACATTTTGCTTATCATCTTTACTGTGCCTGTGCTTGCACCCTTTCTGCTCTTAGTGTGATAACGGCAAAGCACTCAAAGCATTTTTTGACTCCATATTCAATGGCCCCAAACCTATCATGATCTTTGGAGGGGTGTGTTTGTCAGTGACGTCCATCCTAGCCCAGTCACTGGAGGGTTTCAACCTTGTGCAGGTATTCAATCAATCAATCTGATTATCTATCCCCACTGCCATGGTATTTGTAATGGTAAACTCAAATACTTGAGAGATGTTGGTGTTTTATTTAAACTTTCTTTGTTTCCCAGCTGTCATTTGCGGTAACGGCACCTTCACTGGCCAACAAAAGAAGATTTCCAAACTTCTTCCGGGCTGTGCCATCAGACAGTGCAGTTAATGTGGCGCTGGTGAAGTTTCTCAGGCAGTATGGATGGAGTAGAGTTGGTACATTGACCCAGCGTGAGCAGAAGTTCACAGAGGTAATATTACTTACTAATCTGGGAAAATATTAAACATATGGTGCTTGATAGAAGGTGAACTGAAAACTTATATTCTCTTGAAAAGGTACAGAGAGACTTAAGCAGGCATCTGGAGGTAGCTAACATACAGCTAGCTGGGGCGGAGAGCTTCTCTGAAGTCCCCTGCGATTGTGTGAAAAAACTAAAGGTGTTGTATTTGAGGGTCTGGTTTCCTCACACACGTTCTGTAAATCAACTACAAACTTTTCTCAAGACTTATCTGTATTGGGTGCATGACTACAGAGTTGCACGAAAGCTAAAAAATGATTATTTTTATGAAAAACATCACAAATCACATTCCATAATGTATATTTACCTGTAGACATTGATGAAACTTTTTCCTTACAGGACAATGATGTGAGAATAGTGATTGCTCATTTTGATGTGAGCTTAGCTGCTAAACTCTTCTGCTGTGTAAGTATATCCCAGCCATACATTCTTCTGTTATGAAAAAATAGTCCATCTTAATTCCCAATGAATCAGCATAGAAACAAGACAAACAATGCAGCCCTCTGAGGTCCTTTTCATTACAATTGAAAGGTAAGTTAGAAGCAAGATGGAAAGTTGCGCTTGAAGCGAGAGCAAGATATCAAACACTAGCAATCCAACTGTGTCCTGACTCCTGCAGTACAAACCACCTTCTCATTATGCGTACTACCACAAGTTATGCCCCCTACAACTCAACAGCCAATTTGCCAATGTCATCAGACACCCGTCCCCTAGATTCACTAATGTCATCATCAATATTACCTCTCTTTTCTTGTTCCTCTCTTCACTTTCCTGACTTTTTCATCTTCTCAATCATAATGTGAGGTGAAAGTGACAGTAGTTGGTTATTACATTTATACATAAACATACCATTGTGTCACAGGTTTATAATCTCAGCATGTATGGCCAAAAGTACCAGTGGATTCTGCCACACTGGACCCAAGGCAGCTGGTGGAATAGCACTGACTCCACCAACTGCACAGCTAAAAACATACTGACTGCCATAGAGGGATCCATCAGTGCAGATATCGAGACTCTTAGCTCCAGACACATCAGAGGGATCTCTGGTAGGGTAGGTTTGCATTTAAATGCTATCATCTTTGTTTGAGGCAATGAGCAGTTGTTGTAAACATTGTTTAATAGGGATTGTTTTATATATCTATACTGATTCTACTCAGACGCCTCAGGAGTACGAGAAGGAGTATGATGAAAGAAGGTGGCAGAAGGGTCTGGGTGCAAGCAAGTTTCATGGCTTTGCTTATGATGGGACATGGGTAATTGCCAAAGTTTTAACAAGAGTCATGGAGACTGTGAAGTACAGAGAGAAATACAGCATCCATCGCAACTTTACTGTCACTGACCAAGAAGTGGGACAAATGATTCTGGAGGCCATGGACAAGATCAACTTCTTTGGTGTGACAGTGTGTACAATGTTTCAAAATTCTATCTATCTATCTATCTATCTATCTATCTATCTATCTATCTATCTATCTATCTATCTATCTATCTATCTATCTATCTATCTATCTATCTATCTATCTATCTATCTATCTATCTATCTATCTATCTATCTATCTATCTATCTATCTATCTATCTATCTATCTATCTATCTATCTATCTATCTATCTACCTATCTATCTACCTATCTATCTATCTACCTATCTATTGTTCTATCGTTCTATCGTTCTATCGTTGAATTTTTATGTAATTGTTATTCAGGGTCACATTATGTTCCAAAAAGGTGAAAGACTGGCCAGTGTGAAGTTTGCACAATATCAAGGTACAGATCAATTTGTTTGAGACTTCATAGCTTTCTTCACATTGTCTTTTTATTATTCTTGACAGCAGATTTTTCTTACTCCATAGATGGAAAATCGGTCGATATTGAACAATATAGTGCCATTACAGACGAACTAGAGTTCATCAGTCCAATCCAATTTCAAAGTAAGACTATGAAAAAGATAATATGGAGTTTGATCTTGTGTATACAGCTATTTTTATATATCTCACTTACATGCTGGAAAGTGATATTATAAACAATTGTCCTGAAATAAAGTACATGTATTTGTCTTCTACAGGCGATAAACCCACAAAGGACCGAAGCCATGTATACCCTCAGAGAAAACGCATCAGTATATTACTTTATGGTGTTGTGGCGTTTCTAACTTTCTTAGGAATTTTTACAGCTTGCGGTCTCCTAGTCTTCAGTGTGAAACACCACAATCATTGGTAAGTCAGGTGTTGACTTCATTAAATCAATGGTAC